GTTTTCGAAACTGGTTGAAGTTCCGATTCGGTCCCCGAATGCCGTTCCGCTTGCGCTTTAACTTTTAATGCTCACGATCACAGATTCAACAAGAGAGAATGCTTTAGTCAGGTTGGTGTCCCGACTATACCCGTCACTCAGCTAACGGGAGTGCGAGGGAGATGGATGTATAACATTTTTTTGATTGCGCATAACTTTTTAATGAATGGACCGACTTGAAAAATGTCTTCTACATTTCGATAGGTATAAATATACACAACAAAATTGCATTTATACCTTTCGGAAATCTTTAAAGGTGAGGGCGCCAGACACATTTTAATATCGTTAGTGAGCGATTGTGGCGCTCGGCTGAAATAAACTGGGAAATCTCAACCTTCTAGCTTTTGTAGTTTCCGAGATCTTAGCGTTCATACAGACAGACAGACGAACAGACAGACGACTAGACAGACGGACATGGCTAGATCGACTCGGCTAGTGACCCTGATCAAGAATATATATATTATATTTATGGGGTCGGAAACGCTTCCTTCAAGCTGTTACATACTTTTGCACGAATACAATACATATACCCTTTTACTCTACGAGTACCCGGTATAAAAAGTGATGTTTTGTTTTTCGTTCGCGACCTGCCACTCGAGATATGTAAGTTTCAAATATCAAAATACATATTACTCTATTTATTATATTTAATTTGTGTGTATATATATATTTTATCTGTATATATTCATTCTTCGAAATATTTCAAAGAGAGTTGTTCAAACAGGATGTGTATGTGTGTGGATCTGAAATTGGATCTGCAGGCAATTTCCAGAAGTAGTCTGATAATGTGTGCGTAATTTTTTGGCGAAACGCGTTTATCAGGTTGAATTCCAGGGACAAGAAAAATTGAAGGATGTATATATTAGAAATTCAGTCCTGCCCCTTCAAGCACAATGTGATATCAGGAAAGTATTGAATTCGCTTTTCAAAAAGCACTCATTTCCATTCAATGCAAAAACTAATGAATGCCTTGAACTTAAAAAACTGGCTGGCGAATGAAGCTCGGTACAGTGAACACTTACTTGGTACTCCCAATTCACAGTGCTGCATGTCGGGTCAGAAACGGAGCTTGCAGCGCGAACATTAACAAGCGTTCGTCTTTTGCGGGTACAGCTGAGCAGCAGCGTCAAAAGTGACGAGACGCGGCAATCTTGTCCTTGAACTTGGCAAACATTTGTATTGCTGTATATTTCGCAGGCGAAAAGACACACACTCACGCAATTCGCTTTCAAATGCACACAAATGCAGCTGCAACGCTGACTGAGGGTGCATACAGTTGTGTTTTATGTGAATACATGTCGCTCCTGTATGTACATATATATGAATTGTACAATGTACATATACCACACGCAACTGTAATGTGGACACAATAATCAAGCGTTTTTATAAGGAGCATTGAATCATTGCTAAGCTTTTAAAAACATTTGTGTTTAATATGTGCAAAACGACTTTTTCAGAGTGAATTGACAGTTAAACCTCAACGATAATTCGTGGTTTTGGAAATTTTCCCAAGTCAATTTTTTGGTCAACTTTTGTACAAAGATCCATAGCTTAAGACTTTCCTTAAATTTTTGCAATAAAATATATAAATTTAAGTAAAGTAATTTAATAGTAATGGTAATCTTAAATATTCTTATCATAATGTTTTCAATTCGGAAAATTGTTATGAAATGTTATGAAATGTATTCTCTCCATAGCCTTTAAGAGTGTAAGTACATTACATTGCAGTGCAGTTATCATTTAAAATGCTTTAAAGCTGCCTATTGGTTATTATACCCTTGCAGAGGGTAATGAAATTTTAGTCAGAAATTAACAAAGGAGAGGTTTCCGGCCCTATGAATATATATTCTAATCATCATAACAAAACGAGACGATTTAGTCTACCTGTCTGTAAAAATTGGTTTAGAAAGCTCAACAAGATACTGACCATTCGCAGAAATGACAAAGTGTATGAACATAAATACATTTGCTTATAGGGGATTGGCAGAACCGGCAATTAAAAAACAAGGAATAAGAAGGAGAACAGAAACTACTATTAAATTTTGTTAACCAAGGTCAACATTTTTTATTTATAAAAGTATAAAAAAGCTACAATTTGAGTAGCAAGAATGAGAGGGCGAGCGAACCGACATCCGACATATACATGGTCACATTCCCTATATGTATACCAAAAGAGCTTGATAAACAAACACACGATAGCAGCAACCAAAATTCTTCATAACTTTCAAAACAGCACCAATAACAAATTCTTAAAAATATGGCGGATTTGATAGGGGCATGGGCTCAGACGAGGGAAGAAGAGCTGCGGGGGTGCCTATAGAGATACAGAAATTTTTGGCAACGCACACAGATACTTATTTACGCATACACAGGCTTAACAGGTTTCACGCATGTCTGCGAACCGGCTTTTTCGCTTTATTCCTCATTTGCGTTAGAATATTTCAGCAGCTTTCTTGTCAGTATGCATGTACATATGTACATATGTATCTCCCAAAGGTATTCAGAGAAACAAAAGTTTCCCTAGTTCTTGCATTGGCTTCCTAACACGAAAATCAATGGGGTAGGCAAAAGGTCGGTCGCCTAATCATTTTAAAATCAAAAGTTTTCCCCTTTTTTGATACAATATGTACACTTTTATAGGAAAAACACTTGAAAATCGGTTATATCATTTATAAATATCAATTACGTGGTTTATGACGAAAAGTTTAAAGTACTAAAACAAGAGAGAACGCTATAGTCGGGTGCCCCGACTATCAGATACCCGTTACTCAGCTAAAGGGACTTTGATCCGCCGTAACTTTTTAACGAATGGTCCGACTTAAAAAATTTCTTCTACATTTCGATAGGTATTCATAAACACAATAAAACTGCATTTTTACTTTTCCGAAATATTGAGATTTTTAAAATCCTATATAAGCGTTTGTGGGCGTTAGAGGGGGCGTGGCACCCTTTTAAAACAAACTTGCGCTGCGTAGGAACTCCTAGAATCTGCATGCAAAATGTCAATCTTCTAGCTTTTATAGTTTCCGAGATCTCAGCGTTCATACAGACAGACAGACGGACAGACGGACAGACAGACGGACAGACGGACAGACGGACATGGCTAGATCGACTCGGCTAGTGATCCTGATCAAGAATATATATAGTTTATAGGGTCGGAAACGCTTCCTTCTACCTGTTACATACTTTTGCACGAATCTAATATACCCTTTTACTCTACGAGTAACGGGTATAAATACTGAATCAATTGATATACCTATTAGATTATGAAAGTCAAATCAATGATTTCTGTTTAAATGCAAAAATATTAGAGGTTTATCAAATAAGGTAGGTCAATCCGATTGCATTTCGATTAAATTATCGACAGAAAGTTAGTATCACTAGGTTTTATTTCCGCCTTTCAGCTATTGATTGTGAAAGGCCCAAGTATAAGAACGTTCATATAATCAGAAAGAATGTATGCATATCAGCCTTATATCTTCGCATCTTCCACCCCCCCATAATAATATAATCGAAGCACGGCACCATTCATAGAGAGATTCTGCTCCCGCGGAGAAACGTATATACATTTGAATATCACAAGAGTGATAAGGGTTTGGGCGGCCACTCCAATAAGTGCCAACAGGCGGAACGTGAATGAACGCAGCTACGACAACACAAGCCAGCGCGACCCGAAAAGAAAGACGAAACAAATCAGCTTGCCAATATTCGCGATAGCGATACCAGAATTAACGTATTATATGTTCATTTTTACTTTATAATCGGTATTTTTGTTTTTGTGCCTCGCGACGACAATTTCCTGTGGACATAAATACCTCAATATCAATTTTCAGAGATTAAAACAGAAACAAATTCTTCACAACCAGCTTGTTAGTGTTGTTTTTTGATTTGTTGGGGTTTGTTTATTTGTTCTTTTTCCTGACGTTGGCGTTGACCTTGGGACCCAAAACTGGCCAATATTTTGATAAAATACAGAGGGCAAAGTTAAAACCTTAAATTTAAAGATCGGACTTGGGGCCAAAGTGTTAGACCTTAACCTTTTTTAATCACATGTTCAAAAGTGTTCCATTCTAAAATTATTATGTAGAATCGTCGCAAAAAAGCCTTAAATATCTGAAAGAACTAAAATTTAACAACAGATATGTGTGCTGAATATTTGAATTGACATACGGTAACTTTTCGAATCTTAATTTTGGGTTCAAAGAAAATTATAGAATGTAAATCAAATTTATGAAAAGATTAGATCGAAACAAAAACCATGTACTTTTCCTTGCGGGGTTTTGTTAAACAGATCTCCAGTTGATATGAACTCGCTATCAAAGCTAAGTAGCCTGATCCTGTCAAGTGTTAAGGCCACGAAGGTGACTCACATCTGACGGTGAGTCACCAATGCTTAGGAAACCCCTCATCAACATCGATCGAGCCATTATCAAAAATTGCGAATACCCAGAACACTTATATTAGCCTATTGTCATGATGACTCAAAGGGCCGATTCTTAAGCTAATTAAGTTCTGAGTCATCATGAAAATGGTTTGGAACAGCTGGTAACGTCGCGCTAGATGTGTGTGTTGAGGCCTTTTTTCTATTTCCCAAAAGATACTGCCATGCAGTAATCGCCGAAATGACCAGAATCAACATAAAATGAATGCATCATGGGGCGTATGTGTGATTTTTATAGATTACGTATTTATAGATCTGTTGTGATACTTTATTCGGAGCTTATCATTGACGTGCTATATTGTGTTTGACGTAGATAGGCAGCAATTTTTAGAAGATTTTCATATTGCGTATATGACATGTTAACAATGCGAAACAAACAAAAAAATTATTAAAATTAATTTCATAAATTCTTTCTCGCTTAGATTTTAGTAAAAATAAAAAGTAACTATTTGGAGACTTTTATGACTGTTTAATTGAAAAATGTTTTTAAATAGAGATTAGCTAACAAACATCAACTCACCATAAAATTGATCGGGAAAATCCGCAAAATTGCTCCTTATTGTCCTTCTTGATACCGAAAGGTAATCCAAAGTTGGTTTTATATATATAGCGATTGCTGAACACTTTTTGCCTGCTTCGCCGATTTTTGTAAGTTCTAGGAGTCGAGCGTCCAAGCAAGCAAATCGACCAGGGGCAAGTGTTTTCCGCCGAAACTTTTTCACTGAGGAGCGACGACCAGAACCGTACCCGTAATCGCAATCGCTGCGACAATTCGCTCTCTCACTTGACGATGACCAATTACAAAACACACTGAGACCGTTAGGTAAGGAACATTTCTGTTTCTGTTTTCCGTTTCGCTGTCGCTATATTGTTATTGTTATTGTTAGTACTGGCGCTGCTGAAAGCGCTGAGCAAGCGATCGTACGTATACTTGATGTCAAACACTCGGGGGCCCTCGGCTCTTTTCGTTTTTGGCCGAGCCAAGCCACTCGTGAACAACCTTCGCGCTTTGATATTATAAAATTATTAGTTTCAAGTTTAGAATCGTGCTTCTCTCTTGCTTCTCTGAAGTTGCGTGTTGTTGTTTTCCGATTTCCGTGAATATATATGTTCTAGTCACGAGTGTGTGGTCCAATGTGCGCCTGTGTGTGCGATTGCTGTTTATTATCTGCTGGGCAACTAGCAATCGTTGTTGTTATCTTTGCGCACATTCACACGCCACTTTAAACAATATTGACCTAGGTTGTTATGAATGTATGTAGAGGTATTTAAGGTTCAGCTCCACCAAACCATTTGATTCATTGCACTTCCTAGCTTTACTTTTTTCAACTCTTCAAAATCTAGTTTGATTTAAGATTTCAGATATCAGATTACTTATAACGTATACACAACATAAAAAATTTATTTAGAAATTGCACTTGTGTTAGAAAATATAACATTTAACGAGGTTTAGCCGTTTCCAAAACTTTTCTTCGTAAGGCAATCGAGATCAATGGGTATGTGATTATGTTCTTTGCAATTTGCAGCTGCTGAGCTTTAACTTTCTAAAACTACTCGAGGTCCAAGTTCTCGGAGAACGTCCGTCCGCGTTGCCAGCTCGTCAAGAAATACAATACGAGAACCGAAAAATTTGCCGAGAACAAAGCTCGCAGCGGCAGAGCAGCGGCAGAGGCAGCTGCGTCGACTGCGCAGTCGGCGCAGAACGAAAGTCGCTGGATGTGTATGCGTGAACCGGCATTTGCCGCAGCTGCCTTACACTACGAACTCAATAAAGGTGGTCCGCCCTCGCAGTTTGTATTATATTATTCGCAATTGTTGTTGCCGCCTCTGCTGGAGGCGACGTCGACGGCGGCAGGGACGGCGCAGCACCGCTCAACTTACTCAATAAAATTTTTATTATGATATCTTCGCACACGTAAAAAATGTCGATGTTTCGGTGGCCGTTGCTTTTGAATTGAATTGTCGGTGGGCCGGCGGTTTTCCCGTCTTATCACCATACTGCCGTTGGTCGAATGACGTATCCGTCGAAATTGTCTGAACATCAGATTTGTTAACAAAGAGTGTAACTATTTGCCACGAACTAGTTGCCAGTCACAGTGCAAGGTTCTTCGATTTGATTGGATCCAAAACAAGCATGAAAAACTGCGCCAAAAAACCTTGACAATAAATAGTATTAAGGAAATACTCTAGTTCCAATTCATGTTTATTAGTATTTATTTATTAGTATTAGTATATTTAGGGCCGTTTTCTCGTCCGCATGTTTAATTTAAAGCAGCGGTCGGCACACACATACGATGACATTTTGTTCTATATTTGAGTGAGTAATTTGCACTGGGCAGCTCATCAATGTGTGTGTGTAGACCGCTGTTCTACAGTGTACATGAGAGGCAGCGGATGGACAGAGCAATTCCCTATGCTCACTTAATAGAACGCTGCCGACCGCTGAATTAAAGTATAGATAAGAGTAAAGCCCACTTTAAATTTAGCATTCAGACGAGAAAACAGCTCTTGCCGTAGAAAATTTAACCAGCAATTGTCGGATAGGCCCTTTTAACTGTAGAAATAAGGTACAGTTGCGGTCAAAATAATAGTAGTGCCGGTCGCGCACAGAGTTTTGTATCAATACTTTCTCTATTTCTTCACATATCCAACTTAGGGCCGGTTTCTCGAGTGCCGGCTAACATTTCTCGAACAGATAAAGTCCCTGCTAAGGCATTTTGGCTTTCTCGAGCATAAATGTGAGAGCTAACTTTGACAGGGACTCGGAGTCCCTGTTAAGCGTTTTCGACTCGATAGAATGACAGCTGATTTGCCAAAGCCAACTAAGAAGAAGAAACGAAATCACAGCTGACTTTTCCTTTGAATTACACCCAAACAGCTGGTGATATAATCGAAGCACGCCATTTTTTGCGCTTCACAGCCCAATTCTGTGCGTTAACAGCACTCTGTAATTGTTTCTCGTTCAGATAAATTTAAGCAGTCGAGATAGCCGATTTGCTTTTACGAACAGTTTATCTGGTCTTTAAGTTTTTCGGACAGATAGGTATCAGGGACTTTGACAGGGACTCGAGAAACCGGCCCTTATTCTTTCGCAAAAGTAACAATAATTATCAGGGACCGAAAATAACTGTTATTGTAAATTTTTCATACAAAAAAAAATCACGCACTTAGAAAGGTCCAAATATTTTTTAAATACACCACTATAGCCATTGTAGTTTACAAATCCGTAATGATTTTTAATTTTTAAAATAAAACTCAAAAATAACTGTTATTTGTTGATTTTTATGTATAACAGTTATTCCCTTGACATGTTTGAAAAAATGAAATAATTAAAAAAAACATGCTAACAGTGTTTTATATAATTTACTAAAAATTTGTTAAAAAAGGCAACCGCGCATATTGTATAAATATATTTTTTTAATTAGTTTTACCAACAAAATCTCCATAAATCAAGATTGAGTTTTATTTTTGATCTCGACGAATAACTGTTATTTGTCAACTTTTATTATAAAACTCAAAAAATAACAGTTATTCTTTGAGTTTTACTTTACAAATCAGAAAATAACTGTTAAAGTGTGATTTTTAAAATAAAACTTATAACAGTTACGGTCCCTGGTTTTTAATTATATTTCGATTTTTTACTGATGATTATTAATTATCTGTTCTTCAAAAACGTGCAGTTGTGTTAGGATATCGCCTCCCTTTGTATTCCTTTTCACCTTAATTTGCAAGAATGCACTTATTGGACTCAGCCACAATAATAGTAATGCCAGAGATATTATCAGGAATATTTAAATATTTTCCATTTTAAACCAGGATTGTATTGTTTATGTTATGATGTTATTTATTTTTTTCCTCAACAGAGAGTCCTGTCTAAGTGAGGCGTGGCAAACAGTGTTCTGCCGAGAGGTGAGATCTGACTAAAAAATTGGTTAGAAATTCTATTAAAAATGATCCATCAAAAAAAAACGAGTGGTCGACCCAAGTTATTGGACAAAAGATCAGTGGATCGCTTAGCAAGACACTCAAGGATCAAAACATTCACGTCTGCTGCATCACTAAAAAAATTTGTGACTTAAATCTAAGTTTGAAAACAATAAGAAGACTGCTTAGAGATAATAACCTCATTTCAAGGAGTCTAAAAAAAAACAAGAGAGAACGCTATAGTCGGGTTGGTGTCCCGACTATCTAATACCCGTCACTCAGCTAAAGGGAGTGCGAACGCTGTACTCGGGTTGGTGTCCCGACTACCTAATAATTGTAACTCAGCCAAAGGGAGTGCGAGGGAGATAGATATATAAACAATTTTGATTGCGTATAACTTTTTAATGAATAGTCCGATTTGAAAAATGTCTTCTACATTTCGATAGGTATAAATATACACTACAAAATTGCATTTATACTTCTCGGAAATCTTTAAAGATGTGGGCACAGGACACATTTTAAAATCGTTAGTGGGCGATTGTGGGCGTTAGAGGGGGCGTGGCGCTCGGCTGAAATAAACTTGCGCTGCGTAGGAGGCCCAAGAATATGTGTGGAAAATCTCAACCTTCTAGCTTTTGTAGTTTCCCAGATCTCAGCGTTCATACGGACGGACAGACGGACATGGCTAGATCGACTCGGCTAGTGACCTTGATCAAGAATATATATACTTTATGGGGTCGGAAACGCTTTCTTCTAGCTGTTACATACTTTTGCACGAACACAATATACCCTTGTACTCTACGAGTAACGGGTATAAACATAAAAGCACGGTGGTTTATTAATTATGATTTGGATGAGTTTTTCGTACCATGAAGATGGGCCAATATATTGGAACGATATCTATAGGTCAGCATTTTGAACGACGTGATGGTCCCATATGCCGCTGAGGACATGCTTCTTGTTGGGACGTTCCAACAGGACAATAATCGAAAAAACATTAGCAAAGAAGCTAAAGAGTGGTTCGCAGCCAATCAAGTCAATGTCATGGAGTGGCCCGCACAGTCACCTGATCTCAATCCAATTGAGAATTTATGTTGTGACGTGAAAAGAGCTGTCTCGGAAATAAAACCAAGCAACTTTGGAAAGCTGTACAAAGATATTGAAGCTATATTCCTCTAAAGAGGTGCCATAATTAATTCCTTGGATTAGCGCTGTGTGTCTGTTATTGCAAGCAAAGGATGTGCAACCAAATTTAAAAAAAACCTTAAATATAGGTCTGTTATATACATTTAATCATTTAGGGCCGGTTTCTCGAGTCCCTGTTAAAGTCCCTGAAAGCTATCTGTCCGAAAAACTTAAAGACCAGATAAACTGTTCGTAAAAGCAAATCGGCTATCTCGACTGCTTAAATTTATCTGAACGAGAAACAATTACAGAGTGCTGTTAACGCACAGAATTGGGCTGTGAAGCGCAAAAAATGGCGTGCTTCGATTATATCACCAGCTGTTTGGGTGTAATTCAAAGGAAAAGTCAGCTGTGATTTCGTTTCTTCTTTTTAGTTGGCTTTGGCAAATCAGCTGTCATTCTATCGAGTCGAAAACGCTTAACAGGGACTCCGAGTCCCTGTCAAAGTTAGCTCTCACATTTATGCTCGAGAAAGCCAAAATGCCTTAGCAGGGACTTTATCTGTTCGAGAAATGTTAGCCGGCACTCGAGAAACCGGCCCTTAATCTTGAAACTTTTTTTTGGTTGTAATAAACATAAAAGACATAAAAGTTTTACATTTAATTCGGAATACCTCTTTGTATTAAATACATACATATGGGCCGTTCTTTTACAAACCGAACAGATTTGGGCAAAAAAAAAATTTCACATTTTTGATTTACCTGAAACTTTTTTTACACGTACTATTCGGAAAATAAGTAAACACGTGTATCAGGATTTGACCGAAAAAAAATTATTTTCCTAGTTAGAATTTTTTTAAGTGTGCCAAAAAGTGTCAAATTTGAAAAAGTACCCTCTCATTGAAAATCTGTATCTCCGGTTATATGAATCCAATTGACTTCATGTCTTTTGCATTAATTCCTCTAAAACCTCTCCTTTCAAAATAAAATTTCTTAAAAATTTTTTTTTTAATTTCTTAAAAATAAAAACAAATTAAGATTTAAAAAAATTTTTTAACTATTGCCCCCACAAAAAAAATATTTTTTTTTTATTTTAATACTTGCGCCATATTGTTAGTTACAATCGGTTTTTGTAAAAAGTTGGAGCCACTTTTAGTTTTTAAAATATCGAATTTGTTTTAGCAAGGCCTCGGCTTTTTTCTATGAAAAAACGTCGCAGCAAGTAGATCTACTCTCTCACTCTTATCGGATCCTAATGGAATTTATGTTTTCTCATTGTTTACTAGTCCTTTAACAATTGTTAATGATTAAAAGTTAAGTTTTAAGTTTTTTGACAATTTCTGAATGACAAAAAGTAAAAAGTCATTTTTTAATCAATTAAAAACTTACAACTATTTATTTAACCGTCTATTTAATAAACAATAATTTTAAATTTATTTTATTTATTATTTTTTTATATTATGTAATTTATTAAACATTTTTAAATATATTTTTTTTAAGTTTTTAAAAAAATTTATTTAATAAAAATAAAAAATTATAAAATTTAATTAA